GTTTCTGGCCTCAACTCACGTGTCGAGTGTTCGGCGTCTTCACGCCGTGTTTATTAAATTATTTTACACTATTATCATGATTATACATTAGATCACTATTTCACTCATAACATATCTTACTTACTTATGCAATGATAATCCACTCCCTTTTAGCCTGACATTGAAATAACCAAAACAATAACAACTCTATGGCATATCGACTTAGGCAAAACCTTCCCAGTTTTAAAATGGCAGCCAAGCCATGTGACCACCATACACTCTAGTTAATTATTTACACCTCTTTGAGCAGAACCTGAACATTTTGCTAACATGTGACCTGAGAGAATTTTTCAGAGCAGTGCGACTTGTCTTGTTTTGTTCCAGAAATCTGTATATTAAAAGTGTCACATGATTCAGTGTATTGAAGTTTTAGACCATTTTATTGACAATTATATTTTACGACTGTTTCATCTATAAAATTATCAACAAGCTGGTGCCAGTTTTAAGTTTCGCTGAAACATTTTCATGGGCCTCTTTTTATTATGTTGTAATTACAAGGTGGGAGATAATCTGCTGTTGATATTTTGATTTTATTTTCTTAATAAAATGTTAATAAATTTGAGTGCATTTTAATGTGGATTAACCCGTTAAGCGTGACGTTTCAAAACGTTAACTACCCCCTATTGTGTAATTAATTTGACGAAGTGACGAAGAACTATGTACTACATGTATGTTCTAAGAATAGGTTGGGGAAAATACCTCCAAGGCGTTATATTACGCTCTATACACAGTGAGTGGCAGTTGTCCAGGACGATATATAACAACCTACGCACTTAACAGGTTAAGCTGTGAAAAATTTGATATTTTCTGAAAAAATCATGGGATGCACAGAGACTTTAAACATATTTTCCATTTTATTGTCCCTTTAAAATTATGTATTTTTCATATCTTGTACTGCCCTGTTTTACTGTACTGTAATTGAAGCTCTTTTAATAAAAATCTGACATAAAGATCGGTTAACTGTCTTTGATATTGATTGGATGCACTGCTTCCTGTTGACATTTAGATCCCTGAACTCTCGTCACCGGCTTAAATGTCAATCTTCTCAAGATTAGTATAGAACTACAGGTATACCCGAGGTGTTATCTGATTAACAAGAGATTTACTGTATTGTTACTATCTTTCTGTGTTCGAGCCAGTATATCATTAGTGACAGTTGTACGATTAGTCACGACTTTTATCAGAAGACTTATATATGATTATTAATAAGCTTTGTCAAAATAAATAATTAACACAATCAATACGAAAAATAGTCAATTCTAAACAATACTGTACTTTTAAAAATAAACTAGACTATAAACCCAATTATCACTGCTTCAGATAACAGTCTACTCAGAAAAAGGCAGCCGTGGTGGCTTGGTGAGTAAGGCACTGGCTCACTAACCAGGAGGTCTCGGTGTTGACAGAAAAATCCAGTCCAGTTTCCTCTTCTTGGTAGTACAATGAACAAGGAACAGTGTCTAGTTGTTCGAATGGGATGTACATACTGCCGTACTCGTAAAAGAAGACTTATTAGTTGGAATTAGAAATAATGGTTAACCCAGAAAAAGTACATTTGTTCTTAGAAAAGGTTAGATGACGAGTTTATTCAACAGTGTAAATCTATCTTAAAATCATAAACCTACAAACTGTATATTCCTTTGAAAATTCTAAGTAAACCTATGTGATCTCGTGAGACAGGAACTGTGCGATTAATGATATTTTCTTCAACAAGTAACTCCATGTCATGTGTGCCACTGTCAGATACAATCAATAAAACATGTATTGTGGAACTAGTGAATCGTCCAGAGAAGCTAACCTAGAATACAAATTCACTTCCTGGTTCTGGTTTGTTCTCTGTCAACCAGTCTGACAATTAAGTTAGTATTGATTGATCCACCAGGCATCTAAACAAGAGTACAAAGATCAGCTAGACTGAAACATAGAATACAGGAAGTAAAATCTGCTGGTATCAGCAATTATATCGATCCATCTAAGGCTGATGGTTCTTCTTTATTTATATATATATAGAGAGAGATGGGGTTTAAGGTCCACTCGACACAAACTAGGTCATTTCGGGACTAACATATGGTTTATTTCAATAATTCGCTTGCGCATAGGGGTCTTTAGCAGTGGGAGGAAACTGGAGGACCCGGAGAAAACCCACGAGGTTGGACAGGCGACCCTACTCTTTGTCACGTACAACCGGTGATTCAAAACCACGCCAGTCGACTCCCCTTATTTATATAGAACCAAAATATTGTTTACATAGATGTAGACTAAAATAATATAACCTACAGTTTTGAGACTAACATGTAACTACCTTTTTAATTATGCAAGGGATATGAAGATAACACGAACAATGCATTTCTTCCAACTACAACTTACAGGTCAATATGTACAGTACACAGGTGCAAGTGGATATCCGTTACTGTGCAAAAAAGCTTATAATTTTGTCCAGAGGGTGTTGTTTCCACCTAAAAATTTTCGAATCCAACTGTCGAGGTTTCTGCATGCCAATGTGCGCACAGGTGGACTTCATTTTTTGTCCCATTCGACGACTACGCATGTATGTACACTTTTCTCGTGTGCCCCACAATCGCCACCATTGATCAATGAGAATAAAACTTGTCATTTCAGGAATAACATAAAGTTATATGTCTTTAATTTGCTTGCACACAGGGGCTCTTTTGCAAGAGGAACCATGAGTAACCCACAAGGTTAGGCGAGCGACTCTATTCCTCATCACATACAAGCTTGGGATCAAAACCACAAACACTTAATTGACTCAGTTAAAGACCTTATGACTTGTTAGATCACTTGACAACCTACACTGCCTCAGATCATCTTCAACCTTCAATTTAAGGATATTTTTTAACACAAAACATTGCCAAATTAAATATCCCTGTACATCCCAAAAAAACTAATCTGTCATAGGAAATGCTTAAAACTAAAGTAAAAAGGCGTTACAAAACCAATCTATGTCCGGAGATAAATATTTCACTTGTGCACGAAGCGTTCCTCATTATGTCACCTGAAGTGAGGCAGATGTTCCCTTCTGTCGAAGCTCTTCTCATCTCACACTGCTGAACCCTGCTAGTTCCTGCTCAGACGAGCCGAAAACTGGCGCTTGAAGAATGGCAAATCTTGTTCCAAGTCTCGATTCAATTCCAGATATGTAGAAACAAGCTCACCATCATGTGGATATGAACCTGAAAATCTGTCCAGGTGATCAAAATCATGGGGGGGGGGGGGGGGACAGAGACCTATTCGCCCCCCTTCCGATTCTAAGGGGGGGGGGGTGCATCCCCCCATTCCCCCCTAAATCCACGCCCATGTGCGTACTGCATGACATATGCCATTTTTAATTAAAAAAGAGAAACAGGTTAATTTTACTTGTAAGACTTCTACATAATTGAACCCTTGATATTATAGCCTCAAGCAAGTAACAGAACCTCTGAATCTTGGTAAACTGACTCCTTTTTCATATTTTGCAAACCAGTACCTAACCAAACATTTCTTTGGAGACCTAGTGAAAACTGAGGCTATTTAATCTGCATGTGCTTGAACATTCTCCCAAGCAAAGATGTCTTTTTAACTACATACATGTACATGTAGCAGCATAGTGCTTGAAATCAATATAAATACCATCATCCTAAATGTGGGCCTATTTTATTAGTGTTCAAACCAATCAAATGTAAAAATGGGGTAGCTGGATTTACCCAAATCCACAAATATTTCAACTTATAATTAAAAAAATTTATATCGATATTTGATAATATAGGGCCTTGGCCTACCGTTATTTATGCCAGATTGCCATAATTATTTGCAATCATAATGTTTTTGTGTCAAAATACCCTGCAAAATGCGATTTCCAAGCAAGTTTAAAAACAAATATGATATGGTATAGATATTATTATTAGGAGTTGAAATAATGGTAGATTTGGGTAGATTAGGGCAGATTTGGGTAAATCATGTTACCGGTAAAAATGTAAATAAATATTGCCCCAATATATCATTAATTGCAGTGCGATTCACTGAAATATATCAGGGATTTCTCCTTTACACATTTGATGCAATAATAATCAATTTAAAGTAGCTAAGTCTGTAACTCAATATCATCCAAAATCTTCGACATTGAAAACACGAATTATTTGTTGGTTTAAATCAACATTGATGTTCTGATCTTACCGGGAAAAGATGGCCTTATTTAAGACAAAGTAAACATTTTACAATTGGTACACGAATCGTGTACCATAATGTGTTTCAGTGCTATTTGTAATAAGGGACTCGAAAAACAAGGCTAGGCATATTCCACAAGTCATGTCAAACGGTGACGCTATATTCTTATCTGGAGAGCATGCACAATAAATACTATCTTCGTAGACTGGAATAACCAGATGCATGAGATTGCCATTCGATTGAGATTTCTGGCGTATTTCGCCGAACCTAACTGATTAAAAATTACAGTAAAAACAGAAACGTTTGAATGTAAATCAATTTATATACATTCATATTACATTATTGTATGCGTTGCGACCCATTTGTGTCAATTTCTAGGTCCCAAATATTAGCGATTTAGTTCCTTTAAACAATTTCAGTCTTATACAACGTTTGAAATTTTGAAGTATTTCTAATTGACTTCGTCATCCTCTACCAAACCTATTTCAAAACGTGATTGGGTATTCACATAGCCTATCAAAATTCATGCTTCACTTCCTATAGTAGTACTTACACTGATGGTTGGTAACAATACAAATGTACCGAATCTTTCAGGATACGTTATAAAAATAAAGTCGCAGTTAAAAATAAAAGTTAGATCTTTTTAGGACACTGAATTCAGAAAGGAAATGTATATATAACAAAATCACATAAGAATCATTGTTCGATCATACATGGATTGATTATAATAACAGGTCCATCAGTTGTACCGGTATAGTAAAACTTATAAAGTGTAACAATGAAAGTTGAAAAATACTCACGCGTCGGCATTGTTTATTTTCACAAATCGTTGTGTCGTTTTGCAGGCCCATACAACAGAATAATTTCCACCAAGCATAATCTTCTTATGATAGCAATACTAATCAGTATTTAAAACATGTTCAATGAAAGCATACCATAGGCCTTTGGTTTGGTTGTATAAATAAATATAAGAAAGTGTAACGACGTCTCGTGCCACACGCCTATCGATGTCAATGAAGCTGATATTTATTTTTAGCGCAAAACACGGAAGTATCGAATAGGGAAATCCCCTAAATAAGCTAACGATTTGATTGGTTGTTCTACCATTCGCTCTACTTTACATGTATCTTGGATATCCAAACACGGGAAGTAGCGCGATGACCGTCACGGGAGCCGTTATAACTTACTACTAGTTAGCATTCTATTTCATTGGGTTCGATTCTCGCCTTCACTAAGATTTCAAATTTCACATTTAAAAATGCATGCAAATGATTTATACGAATTTTCAATTATCCCTATGAAATTGCATTTTGCAATGCGTTTGTACAGATATTGTGGAGTCAACCGAACCTTTTTGGCATCATAGTGGGTGGTAATTGTAAATGTCTCGGGGGCGACTATCTCAAACATGTATCATCAATTGAGATGGAAAACCAGTACCACCCTACGTACGCATTCTAACCCGATTCCGAAATTTTCGTTTTGCTCATAAATTATATAATAGGTTTGCTATAGCCTGAGTCGTATTCCTAATTCATTCAAAATTTGATAATGTTCATCAAAATATAATACGCCAATATCGCAAATTCAGGCTCAAAATTGAAATTTTCTGTCATATTCATAGTTCCTCGCCTCAGGTGCAAACCTTATTTTCTAAAATTTTCTGGGGGGGGGGGGGCACCCTAGACCCCTCTCCGAATGGAGCCGGCCCTTAGCTATAACCCGGCCTGCTTGAACGATATATTGGGTAGGTTATATATTTTAGACTTAAAAAGTACACGATCACCAAACTCCTATTTTAGTATGGTCTGTTGTAAAACCACTTGTGAACATCTCTAATGAAAAGTGATACGGTGTTGAATTTTCGATATTCAGGGGTGGGTACCAAACCTATAGGGTCTCTGACTCTCTACTATAGGGATCACTCGGCCTATAGGTGTATAATATTTTTGGACACTTTCATAACACACATGGCCTTAAACATCCGTTATCAACCACGACTTTGCTCAATTGTGTTTAGAACACACTTTCAGCTTCCCCTATGAGGTTAGGTTTAGGCGGGACCGGAATAGCTTTGAGCTTCTCTGTACACATCTCAATCCGGCACCGCGCGAAGGGTTATTTTTAACATACCGGCGCTGGTATTACATGTATAAAATCAGTTACATTCTTGTGGAAAATGATCTTCCAAACTGATATATTTCGTAAAAATACGATTAAGCTCACTTCAGCTGTTTTTATTAATCAGTTTTATTTTAAACATTTACAAAATAAAACCGCCCGGGAGCAGTGTAATTTAAATGCGTAGACATTTACACAATTATTATTGAATTTCAGTGCCACATGAAATAAATCAGAATTTATTGATTTAAGAGTCTATCTTTGTGGTTTAACGTCTGCTCCCACAATTATAGCGATATCACAGACAATAATTAAGAGTAAATAAGTTAGAAGAAATTGGGTTTAACGTCCTACTGTTCTGCTCCGACTTAAGAGTAAATATAGCTATAGCCTTTCATTTCAAAAACACGTAGATTAAATTTGTGTTTATCCTCAAACTCATGAAGAAAATTTTGGTAAATGGGAGTTCAACAGGTGATCCACACTGACCGACGCTTCACCAGATATTTACTTTTTTGCACTGTTTTGACGACTCTATTATGGACATGAAATGAAATGAGCTGAACTGCAGGATTTCCCATTGACCTGCTTTTCACTCATTTTCAGCCTCCATTTCCTTAGCTTCAGAGTTACATTAAATCCTCTACTTCAGTTTTTGTCTTTCTTTGCTGGATCAGTGTTTCCTCAGGGCAGTTCAGGAAGGCCGAATACCCTTCAGAACCGCTGAATCTATTTGTTAAGGCCAGCTCAATTTTTGTCAAGTTCGCTGAGATGTAAATAAGTTTAGGGCACGTGATTGTTGGCGAGATTGTAGGTTGGGGTTGGGGTAAGCATTGGGGCTAGGTTCAGGGTTTGGGTTAGGATTATAGCGCTACCCCTGTGACCTATGACGAAAAATATCTGATCAAACACTGGCACTATATACAAATGATGGGTATTGTCAAGACTGGATAGCACGTGCTTAGGGCGTCATCAGGGCAGATTGTAGAAAATGAGGGAGGCCCGAAGTTACAGGATATGAATACATTGCAGGATATGAATAACTTGAACTAAGCCTAATTTTTTACGTTGGTTAGCCGCGGGGCCCCTTTCTAGTGCGGGTCTTATGTGGGGAAATTGGTCAAATTAATGTTCCAAAAACCGACTCTGGGCAGCATGGGAAGGGAGGCACCACATAATTTCGGCTTTAACATATTTAATTATTTATAAATAATTAATTGTTCTTCCATAAGTATGTGTTATAGTTTATTGCTCTATCCAGTTACTAAATGCCTCTAAAAGATCATTATTTATTCATTGCTTTTTTTTTTTTTTTTTTTTTCTTTTTTTTTCTTTTTTTAACTGTTACCCCCTTTGCCTCAATTAACAATGACGTACAAATTAAACCTCAGAAAAACTCTTAACCACGTGCTTGACGGTTTGTTTACACTGTAATTTATTTTATTGTTTATTATTCTTTAAATTTTGAGTTTTACCAAAATCTTTAAAGTGCTTATAGGGTCTCAAACCGTTTTAATCCGGCCCTGGGTGTTGTGATACTTATTTCTCTGATGTGGAAATGATCACCTTTGTTAGTACTGCAATGGCTGGCAAGAAATAATAACACTGCAGCTTTGAATCGATGCCAGAACAACATCAACAAGGTTTGCTTTGTTATTCAAATAGGTTAAATCAGGGTACTATTTTGGTATTTAAAATGTAAATAAAATATTTCCAATATTCAAGCACATATTTCACATATTGTTATTATCAAACACACGTCATAAAACTTAAAACTTTTTGTACAAATTCTGAATGCAAATTAGAAGTTTGATCAACCGTCATAATTTGGTTCTCTAAAATTGGTGGTAACCTACCTTTGCCAGAAGGTTTTGGTGTATATTTTCGCCGCTAATCTAGTCTGTTTTACACTAAACATGGCAAACATTTAGACTATTGCATCGATATTAATAATCTTGCGCACAGTAATCATGAAAGAAAATAAATGAAATGGGGTTTAACGTCCTACTGTTCTGCTCCGAACTGGGCTAATGAAGACGGGCATACGCCATACAGTGTGCTATGAGGGAAATTTTGCCCGGACAGCGGCACTACGGCCTACTCTTATATCGAATTCCAACTGTCAATGATCTTTTACGTGCACGCCAATGTGTACACGGGACCTCGGTTTTTCGTCCCGTCTGAACGACTAGACAGCTGCCTTTGTCCGGCCCTCCGTCCTTCATCACTGACAAGGGGGAACCACGCCGGAAAATCTGTATGGACTTTCTCGGCCAATGCAGGGATCGAACACCCGCCCTCCAGGATAGCGAGCCAGCGCCTTACCCGCTTAGCCACCGTGGCCCCCAGGAAAAATAAAGAAATTGGTAATAAATTATGGTAAGAACGGCGTTGCTGCTATTGATAGTTGCAGGACATTGTATTTTGTAGGCAAGTCTTTTACTCAATATCATCCACAGTCTTCGACATTGCAAACACGACTTTAAATCAACATTGATTTAGTTATCTTAGTATCCTTACAATGAAAAGATATCCAATATTTAAGACAAAATGAAATTTTAAAATTGGCACACGAATCGATGAAGCGACTCGATGAACGAGCCTCTACATATCCCACATAAGAATAATGGTTAGATCTATTTGATAGACCAACTTCAACGAGATGTAAACAGTGCTAGCGCTGTTAGTCCCGAAATGATCTAGTTTGTGTCGAGTGGACGTTAAACCTCGTTTCCCCCATTCCTATCTCAACAACTAGATGCCCGTCCATGCCAGGCCCACTAACCGGCGTCTCTGACATGGGGGAAAACCAGACTGAATAATTCTGAGGAACTGTCTCGACCAACACTGACCTCCTGGTTAGAGAGCCAGCGCAATATTCACTGAGTCGCCATGGCTCCCGTAATAAGTGCATCAATTTTTTATGCATATTGTTTTGCATGACATTTTATGCCTAATTCGTAAAAGCCATGAAATTTATGACTGAAATATATGCCACTCCCCTACTCATATATTTAACCCTTTTTGTATCCCCAGACCTCGACACATTGCTTGAGCAGTAGGGCACTGGCCTGTAGGCTGCAATGTCCGGGAATTGACTTCTAGTGTGTCTCAAAAAGCCCCCTTGGGAATTTTCAAGCATGGAGTTTACAAGGAAAATTGGGTCTGGTCGCATGGATTAACTCTGGTCCCCCCTTCTCCCCATTACTCATTGGTGTGCAAATATATCTAAAAATGTTATGTCCCTTTAAAGGGAGGGGACGAATCGCTGTGTGTCCTATTGTGTGTTTTGTAAATCAGATGTAGTGATACGTTTAAACACTAACATATCTCGACACAAGTAGATATCAGATCTAGATAGTTAGTTGGGCTTGACAGAAATTACAAAAATACTTAATCTCGGTCTCAATGTGACTTCTTCTTAATAATACCAGCGTAGGCAATGGAATAATAGAGTTTGTTCTCAAGTAATATAACTTACAATCTCGCCAACAATCACGTGTTCTATAACCTTATTTACATCTCAGCGACCTTGACGAAAACTGAGCTGGCCTTAACAAATAGATTTAGCCGCCTGGCCGGTGGCAGTGATTCTCCTAAAACGGCGAATGGCGAACGGCCCAAAAAAAATAGGAAAAATGCAACTTGAAGATCGGGATTCCCCTATTATTTTTTTTCTGCTATATTAAATGCCAGTTGAAGAATGTCTTCTATTCACTTAATTCATTAAATATTCGCTTATATGTGTTTATAATTCTTCGTTGATGAAATAATAATTATTATTTACAGTATTTCGACCAGTTTAAAATATACGCCTACTCTCAGTTGTTCTTTCACGTGCAAACCAGCGTGTACTCGAGACCGACCTC